CCCCCCCCCCCGGGCCCAAACACCAGCGAGCAACCGAGGTCCTGGGGAGGCCTGCGACGCGAAGACACAGAAGCCCGCGCCTCACGGGGTATCAGGCTTGTGAGCAGAGCTCAATCACTTACAGTTTTATTAAATTAAAATTGCCCCAGGCGTGGTAACGTACGCCTGTAATCCCAGCACTCGTGAGGCTGAGGCAGGAGGGTCTCTGCGAGTTCGAGACCAGCCTGGGCTACATACATAGTGAGTTCCGGGTCAGTCTCAATTACATAGGGAGACTGTCTCAAAAAAACAAAAAAAATTTTTTTAAACTCCATTATGTGCAGACACCGTGAAATAATGTATATGATCCCATTACACATAATTTATAGCTATATCAGAGAATTCTGTAGTACAGAAGTGTAGCTGGGTGTACTGGGGCACACCCGTAATCCCAGCACTCGAGAGGCTGAGGCAGGGGCGTCTCCCGAGAGCTTGAGGCCAGCCTGGAATGCTATTGTTCTATGCTTTGCATACTCCTGGAACATTTCCGAAATTAGTACAACCAGGGCTGCAGGCTCGCTGGCATCCACAGAAGGGACTCGTTCCCCACCTTCGGCTCATGGGCGAGGGCTTCAGCAAGTGGACCGGAAAAGCGGTGAACAGATGTTTCACACGGTGAGTACGTATTTGACAACGAGTGCGAAATTCCATGAGTTTATCACTGCCGTCAGGGAAGTCACTTACATATGCCCGTGGACCGCACACACCGGACACTGTGTAAAGTGTCATTACACTGGCCAGTTCTGCTACTTAGGGTTTATACCCACTGTGTCGGAGTCTAGCACTTACGATTTCATCAGACCACAGAACTCTATCCGACAGCATGTTCTACTGCCCTACGGCTTAGAACTAGACGGTGAATCTTACTAGCACCGTAGCGCGACCTCCCATACGGAATATTAGACTATCGTTATGTACCATGTATGATTATGGGGCTTTATAACACGACTCATTTTTTATTATTTCAGATTTACACGTACGTACTGTGTCCGTGTATACCGCTTACGTCCCAGGATTTCACTGCATCATATGGAATGTCACCGTGTCATTATTTCAGATATTGCCAAAGATCATATCTTGAAATTTATTCCACGAAGGGGCTGACGTATAGGACAACGGCACATCGTTATATCGCACGGCATATTTTTCGTTGCTTATGAATTCCACTCCTTAGACTGCATATTTTCTGTGCCGGTATACGCCATTTATATGGTGAAATTTTATAATGTCATAGAAACTTGTTATTCACAACACTGCGATGTCATTATGTTGAATCTATAGTGTGGAATTTCAGTCTACTATGATTTTCTTACATACAGACCTCGGAATGTTCTGCTACATATCCATTATGGCTTTTTTTGCTGTTGTTCTTTTTTGAGGCAGGGTCTCAGTACGTAGTTGAGACTGAACTGGAACTCACTGTGTAGCCCAGGCTGGTCTCCGACTCACAGCGATCCTCCTGCCTCTGCCTCCTGACCGCTGGGATTACAGGCGTGCGCCACCACGCCCAGCTTGATTATGGTTTTGGACGGGGTTGTACTATCTCATAGAATCCCGTATTGCAGGCACGATTAGAATAGCATTATTTCACCCATACAGAACACTAGCGTTGAACAATTTGATGCACCACCTCTGACCGCATTATGGGCTATGACTGTATTACAGGACCGGCTCTACGTCACGTTAAAACAGGGCTGCTCCTATTCACTTGTATATCATGTCTAACGATGCTATGAGATATGATTATCCTCTACCACATGTAACGTTATAGCAGCATTGCATCGATATTGTACGCATCATCTCTGCGTTACGGGACGGTACTGGACTGCGGCGTCTAGTATGTGTGACATTAGAATAACGCTACTGTTTATGTGACCTTCACTTTTGCGTCGTCTCTAACCAGGTCACGGGATATCACTAAACCGCCGCGTCTACTGTAGGTAATGTCAGAAAACTGCCATTTACATATCGCGGGCAGCTACGTCCCGGGGCGTCGCTGTTCCGCCGGGTGTACCGTGCGTAGCACGAGACAGTACGCGTATACATATTTATTTCAGGTACGCAGCATTTCTGGCTATGTGGTGGGATTTTTCTGTGCCCGTCGCACGTCACCCGTCGCTCCGCCTGATCGCCGTGGGCTGCACAGCGCAGGTGTGGCGAACCCGGTCTCCGGCAGCGGGTGGGGTGGGG